ATTGGATTCTAGGATAAGTGATGTAGGGATGGATAAATTGGAAGGAGATATACCAATTGTAATGTCTTGTGAGTTAGGTGATTCAGGAGGAATGTTCAGTGAGGTTGTTGATGTGTGAGGTTTAGTCTCCACGGTGGGTGATGTTTCATAGGTGAGAATTGAACAATGATTCATTTGAGGAGGTTGATGAAGTGTAGGGTGTAGAGGTATGAGTGTTGGTTACAATAAGAGGAACCTGAATAGTTTCTTGGGGAGAATTGATAGTTGATGGAGAGAAAAGATCCTTGTAGGGAAGCCTAGTTTCATTAAAGACAACATCTTTGGTAATATAGAGGCGCCCATCTGCTGCAAGGCACTTGTAGCCTTTGTGAGATGTGGAATACCCCTAAAAGACACATTCTTGTGAACGAAATTAAAGTTTGTTTTTGTTATAAGGTCGGAGATGTGGAAAGCAAGAGCAACCAAAAATTTTGAGAAAGTTGTAATATGGAGGTTGTTGAAAAAGTTTTTGATATGGAACTTCCTTTTGGATAGAAGATGATGGAAGCCTATTTATTAAGTAAACATTGGTGATAAAAGCATGATCCCAAAACTGCATAGATAGGTAGCTTGAGGTAACAAGGTGAGATCGAGTTCAACAATATGCCTATGTTTACGTTCTACTACCCCATATTGGTGGTGTGTGTGGACATATGACACAATGTTGTATTCTAGCACCATTGAGATATGTTGTGAAGGAACGATACTCTTCTCCCCAATCAGTTTGAATGGCTTAAATAGATAGTTGGTTTGATTCTTAGCCATAGCATGAAATTGTTTAAAAATATCAAGAGTTTGGGCTTTGCTTTTAAGAATATAAATCCATGTGAAATGTGTGTGAGCATCAACAAAGGTAATATAATATTGATACCCACATGTGGTTGAGGTTGGTGCGAGGCCCCATAAATCATTGAATATTAATTCAAAAGGTGTAGTGTAAATAGTTTTAGACAAAGTAGAATGTAATCTATGGGACTTGCCAAGACAACAATGGGCACAAAAATCTGGATCAATTTTATTCATATATGAAAAATTGCAATTTCAAAAGACAAGTTTCATTACATCAGTATTAGGATGACCTAATCTAGAGTCCCAAGTGGCAAAAGAAATAAAACTTTTAGTTGCTATATGAACAGTAGGAATTTTGACAGTTTGAGAAGACTTGAAGGTTGTTTGTTGGAAGTGGAAAGCAAGGCAAGAAATTGATATAGACCATCAAAACCAACAAAGCCTTGGAGAAGAATTTCTTTAGTAGTTTGTGATTTTACCAAGCAAACTAAGGGATGAAACTCAAAAAATGAAAAATTATCTTTTGAAAATTGACTAACACTAATTAGATTTTTGGTAATGGATGGAACAAAAAGAAGATTATTTAGAGCAAAATGAAATTTAGGATTTATTGGGGAGGAAAAGGTAGTAACACTTGTTGAATTAATATTGAGGCCTTGACCATTTCCAATATTGATTTCATCTGGTCCTTCAAAAGGGGTAAACTATTGAATATTGAGAGATATTGATTACATGATTTGAAGCACCAGAATCTAGATACCAAGTGTTATTTCTAGAAGAAGAGGATGAGGCAATCATGACCTGAGGTTGTGGCTGTAAATTTCCCTGTGTTTGTAGGAACAAAGTATGCTTATGGGGTGGGCGGTGGTCGAGACCTAAGAATTCCATTTGGTGGAGTGGAGGATGAGAGAGTTTTTGTGAAGATGAAGGAATGTACTGCACTGGAGTAGATTGGGTGGTGTACCAAGTAGTGGGATTGACAGTTTGATTAGCAAAGGTAGAGATAGGTGTATCTCATGGAGAAGATGGGACAAAATTCTCATCAAATCTGTAGTAACAAGAAGAAGCAACATGCTCAAAATAATGGCAAATCTAGCATTGAAAGCCAACAAATTTGCATCGTCCATAGCCACCATGGTTGTTGAAACGATCACCACGAGAGCTAGTTCAACCACCACAATGTTGGACAAAATGAGATCTATGTTCTTGATGGATAAGATTTTCTTGTGGGTGTGATATAGAAGAATTGGATTTGAAAGAGACTGCAACAACATTAATGGATGCAACAGCTTTCTTCTTGAATTTATCAAGGTGAGATTCGTCTCCAAGAAGCAAGGTTTCCACTTCATCGATGAATAGCAAGTCAAAGCGACTGCTAATGAGAGACATGGTTGATTCATATTCTTCAGGTAAGCCTTCAAGAATGATACCAAGATGTTCTTTTGAGGACACAAAGTCACCAATGGCTGTCAGGGCATCAACAAGGGTTTGAATGCAGAGAACATAATCTGAAATGGTTTGATTCTCAAGATTGGTGTTGCCCAGTTCATTATTGAGTTGATGAGCTTTGGCATTTGTGTGAGAATGAAAGTAGGAATGTATTTTATCCCAAAGTTGAAAAGATGTCTTACAATCTATAACACGAGTAAGCATGTCTTTAGAAATGGAAGATTGCAACCAAGACAGCAAGAGTTGATCTTGTTGTTCCCAAGCAAGATAGGATTCAAAGACTTGGCTAGCATCATGATCAGTAATTGAAAGAAACTTTAGGGGAATCAGAGGGTTGACGAGAAAGTGATGAAGTCTATAGCCCTTGATCACTGGTTCAACCTGCTAGCACCAAAGAAGGTAGTTCTTGGTGTCCAACTTTTCTGATATGATGTGGGAGAAGGTGAGAGATGGAGAAGAATTAGTTGGTGGATTCTTTGGAAGAACAGTTTTGATTGGTGTAGCATTGATTCGTGGATGAGGCAATGGTGGTGGAGAAATATCAGCCAGTGAAGAAGAATCAGCCATGAAGGAGGTTGTTGAGAGGATCAAGAAAGAAAGAAAAGATCGATGAGCTCTATGATACCATAATAGAAATATAGAGAGAGAAGTTGAGAGAGGAAGAAAGAAAGAATATTTCTAAAATGTAAAATATGTTTTTCCACTAATTGAATAGAGTATAAGTTGTTTATATAGAGACAACAATTTCTAATAGAAGGTGTTGGACTGTAACAGCTATTGGCCTATAATGGAAAGCAATAAATGTGACTAACAATACAATAGAAAATAATAAAACAGAAACTTCTCTATAAATCCTACACTATTGTTGCACATAAAAGTAAAGAGTAAAACTATACTCCAATAGTACTTAAGTAGAACTGTAGAAGCCATGAGCTTCCAAAGCTTCGCTACATATCTTTAAGTTTTCATTTATTTCCTCTCTTGACTCTCCAACTATCACGGCACTAACTTTTGGATAAGCTCAAGAAGCACATCCCAAACCAAGGTAGAAAGATAAGGGCTCAAAGTTGATCATAGATGCAGACCAGATAGTCTATTGTGACCCCACCTTGTATTTTGACACTTGTCACAATTCCCCTCATATAGATCCTTGATTGCTCAAAAAATGAAAGCAATACGCACTCCTTTCTTCTCTATGCCTTCCACAAATCCTCGTTTGATATTGCATCCTATGCTTTTTCCATATTAATAAAGACTATATGTAAGCCTTTCTGTTCCTTCTGATATCACCTCAGGGGACCAATTTTGTAGGTTTAAATTAGGCTCATAACTCACTTCCTAGAATAAGTAAAAACCAAATTGTTACTTAGCACTTAGCATATTTGAGATTACATGTTAGCTTTTTTGATAAGCAATGGGTTTGTCAAAAAAGGCCTTTTGAAGAATTTGTCAACTTAAGTTAGGGTGGCTCAATAAAGACAATAACCTAAAACTTTTGCTCCTTCAATTTGAAAATTCATTTTGTTTCCAAAAATAATTATACAAATGTCACATTGTTTTCACTTTATCTTTTTTTTCACTCCAAATACTTCTACAAGAAATAATGAAAACAATACAAAGCGAAAACAATGTGGTATTTTTTGTAATTACATGTAAAAACAGCAAATGGAACAAAACATTTTCTCACACTAAATAGGCTCTCAAATAGTTTCTTGTAATTTTGGAAAATAAAAGCTTTAACCTCTCATTCAAATAGAATCAGTCAATGCTAGAATACAATGGCAGAGTTAGTTAAGGAAAATCCAACTAATCAACTACAAAGAAGGAAAACATAAAGGAAAAAATGGGGAGAGAAAACTAAAACCTATTCAGGTCTGAATTGGATATTACAGATATTATTCTAATACAAACTACCAGATTATCCCAATTCAAACCTATTATATCTTTTCCTGATTCAAACCATTCTTCCTAAATTTTCCAATAAAATTGACATTTATTCATTCTCATCATTTGCGGGAAAGGGTTGTCTTTGTAGTGTACATGTGGATTTTTGCATAGTTTAATTCAAGGGCTTTTCTCTTATGGATTTACAAAGGGATAGAACTTGGAGAGCTGTTTTGAAATTACTTTTCCCTTGTTGTATCACTTTTCTCTGCATGAATGTTGCGAAAACATGTATAGTTTTTTTAACAAGTTGATCCAGAAAAAAATCTCTTCAAACATTTGAAAACATATACTGAATTCTAAAAAAAGTTCAAAAGATGCTAATTTAGAGTTTACAACTGTTTGTTTATAGAAAGAGAGGGAAAAAAAAAAAAGGCACCTATCTAGTATCTAGTATGCTTATGTCATTATTCAGTCATAAAACATTAGAAGAAATATTTCTAATAATAGATCATTTTATAGGTAAATCATGTATGAAGATTGAGGGAATATAAGTTGAATTAGGCCAAACAAAGGAGAAAATGTGTTTAAAATGAATAAAAACACTCAAAAACAAAAGGAAACCATTCATGTAATAAACATGTACTATAAATGTTCTTCGTCTTATTGCCAAATTAAACAACGAGACCTACAGCTCTTCTGGAAAAAATGAGAAACCTACAGTGGCATGAATCATATAGAGCATAAATATTTTAGAAAGTAATGAAAACTCAGGATGAAAACAAACACAAACTTTAGTGCTGCAAGAAGATTGCATACAAGAAGTCAAATTCACTTACTTCACCATTCATTTCATAAGCTAGCAGAACATCTGCTTCAGGATTTGTGGCCTGACTGAGTGGTATTGAAGCTTTGTATGGGCCTCCATTTTCCTCCTATGAGTTTTTAATATTAAAAGGAATCAACAGAACACTTTCAACTGAATGATACAAATAATCAGAATGAATTCAAGGTCTCTAGAGTAAACATATAAGCCATGGTCATCACCTTGCACTTGTCAACGCTTACAAACTCAACATGTCTTCCACCAAATTGAGTGACACTAGTCAACTTTGGAATTCCAACGAGTTCAAGAACATCAGACAATTTGGCACCACCCCAAACAGCTGAGAAAGGCAAATATCATGAAAAAAATGTTTACAGTATGAGACCTATTATATTAAGAAATTTAGTTTGTGGCTAAGCACTCAAGGGGCATCCAAGTTGCTTTGCGAACTAATTAATCCAGAGATTCAATCCTAGCATGCTTTACTTACACTTAGGTCTCCCCTCCCCCCTTTTCATACCGGGCCTTAGACTTCCTCCCAAATAGAAAAAGTGCTTCCAGACTCAAGGTGAAACATAAATAACTGAAGCTCCTTCCATCCTTGACACATCAATTTTAATCTCATTATATTCCAATAAAGTTGACAGTACTAACTAACCATTTCCAATAGCAGAAACATCCCAGCCAACTCCCTTCACTGTTCTAGTCTTGCTCATAGCAGTCCTTCGATTACCTGCACACTGAGATAATTCATTTGCAGGACGCAACCATCCCATCAACAACAGAAAAACCAAAACAACCATGGCTCCAATTCAATCCAAGCTCAGCAAAAGAACACACACCTGCAACGTGGCGGTCACATTATACTTTGGAAGCTTCCTGTCACCAAATAACAATGTCAGTTCCTTGTATGACAAGAAAAATGTTAAACAGCCAGAATTCTTTTTCTGCAACAGGGTAGCACTGTTATTAACTCCAAGGTTGTCATCACTTTAACTTATCCAATTTCCACCGGGTAAATTGTCAAATAAGTCTTGAAAGCAAGGTTATTGAATCACAGTTAAAATCATGACTTTTCCAGCTAATTTTTAAATTGTGAATCATAAATCATATCAAATCATAAAATTTAGAGACATGACGGAAAAATAGCTTAGTATGTCACCATAAATGATGTATAGTACTTGATGTAAATTTTATTTTATGCATACCCAATGCAATGTTTAAAACTAGAAATGGTCATATACAAGCTATGATGCACAAACATGATACGCATATCAAATACAATACATATCCAATATGATTATTTTAAAATATATAGGATAAGTGTAAGATATGTGTCTTCATATGCATTAATATTCATAAAAATTTATAAATATGTGATTGTAATTTTGATCAAAATTTATAAACATAATAAATATATAATTGAAATTTTGCAAATCTAAATTGAAAACATAATTCTTATACATTAGAACATAAGAGATAACTGTGTATGAAGCCTCTATTTCTGGAAACAGAAAACAGAGCAGTAGAACAGCCTAATACAGTGCTAAGAATGAGAGAGTGACAGTCTGAAATATTTGCTTAACAACAATAAAAATGGAGCATCTGAATAATCGAAAAGGGTGTGTTCAACAATACACCTCTAGTTCCTTTTTATTTAACAATTTGAGCCCATCTAACTTTTTAACTTCTTTGATAAGAAATAGTGAAAGAAACGTACAAAAAAAAAATTACAAATTGCTGAATTGTGCCACTCGACTTTTTAAATCATCCGATCTCACAATATTCAAAAATCATCCATAATTCATCACATGGTTGCTAGCCAAATCGGATTCAAATCGTGTTGTGAATCATAATATTATTTTGCTAGAAAGAGGAAGTGTATGATCCTATTTGAATACAAGCTTAAAAGAGCTTTTGAAAACCTACTAAAAACATGCTTATGTGTTGAAAATTAAGCTTAAAAGAGCTTTTGAAAACCTACTAAAAGATGCTTATGTGTTGAAAATTATTTTGACTAGATAACCTTTCAAAAACTCTTCCAAACTATCCAAACAAGCTGCATGTCACATCAGTCTCTCAAATTCGAAAATCGCCACAAAATTTCGCGACTAATTTGACTATTTACTCAACATTCACCCTCGAATCGTGGCATTTCCAAAATACACCTCTAGTTCCTTTTTATTTAACAATTTAAGCCCATCTAACTTTTTTACTTCTTTGATAAGAAAAAGTGAAAGAAAAGTTAAAAAAATAAATAAATAAAAAAAGTAAAAAAAAAAATTACAAATTGCTGAATTGTGCCACTCGAATTTTTAAATCATCCGATCTCACAATATTCAAAAATCATCCATAATTCATCACATGGTTGCTAGCCAAATCAGATTCAAATCGTGTTGTGAGCCATAATATTAACATGCTTGAAAGACGAAGTGTATGAGCCTATTTAGATACAAGCTTAAAAGAGCTTTTGAAAACCTAAAAACATGCTTATGTGTTGAAAATTATTTTGACTAGATAACCTTTCAAAAACTCTTCCAAACTATCCAAATAAGCTGCATGTCACATCAGTCCCTCAAATTCGAAAATCGCCACAAAATTTCACGACTAATTTGACTATTTTTACTCAACATTCACCCTCGAATCGTGGTATTTCCAAACAGAATTCCGACATTCACTCTACAAGAGTACCGATTAGCAATTATTCCGAACCCACACTAACCAGATATCCTTCATAAAGAGCTGTTTGGGACGCTCCACCAAACCGGAGACGAACACGGAGTATCTGCTCCTCGCAACCAAACGCGCCACAAAACCGAGTTAAACGCAAACCAACACAAGGCTAACCAACTCACAGCGAAGGAGGCCAAAGAGAAAGAAAAGGAACCTCACCTGTTCACGTCCTCGACGACGGGAATCGGACCGTGATTCCTCTTGTAAAAGAAATCGGAAGGCGTCACGTACGACGCCGCCAACGCCGCGCGCGGTGGCTCCGCGTTGAAAGGCTCCTGAAAAACAGAAGAAAAGAGAAGAAAAGTTGCGATTAGGAATCGGCGTTTGGGGAAAATCGGGAAACGGAGAGAGAAAGGGAGGGGTTGCGTTGCCTTGGCGTTGATCAGAAGAGAAGGGTGGCGCGGAGGCTCTTGGGAGTAATCGGCGGGTGCTGTGAGGCCTGGCATTTTCGTTCGGTGAATGCGAAGCAAGGCGATGATGGTGCGCTGTGTGTGTGAGGGTCGTAATCTAGAATAATAATGTTTGTGGCTTATGTGCTCGTGGAGTGTTGTTCCACCAACTTAGTGACGGTTAAGAGCATGTTTGATTATACATCCTTTTTATATTGGATTTGGACAGTGTTTGTGTTGGGATTAGTGAAAATGATAACCACTTGTTTTTCATTCATTTTTAATATAATTTTTATCTGAGATGGTGGACAGAAGTAATATAAATTACATTTTCTTTTTAACCCTGGATTTTACATTAAAATTTTGTTTTCAAAAAAATTTATGATTTCTCCTATAAATCTATATTTGTATTATATACAAAGAGGTAATATTTCCTTTTCGTGTATACATATTTTTTTATTTTATTATTATAACTACCTTTTAAATTACTGTTTTTTGTATTCTTTCATTTAACACATCCAGAAATTTGCTCTTTATTTAGAAGTTAACCACTCATTTTTTTATATTGACTTTTTTAAATATACAGGTATATAAAGTACTTTTTATACCATGATTATATATAAAACAAATATTTCATTTTTTGTGTGCACATGGATATAACTATCACTCAAGCTACTTTTTCTCCCTCTTTTTATATTTTTTATTTAGTTTTTATTTTTTTTTTTTATTCTTTCATAAATTTTACGTTTCAAAATTCTAAAATGTCGCTAAAAATTATCCTTATAATTATAATTAGTCAAAAATAACTCATTGTTTTTTTATGATCGGACTACTCATTATTGTTAATCACTCATTTTATTTTATTTATAAAAAAAATACATTCCCTTTTGGTGTTAGTAATATATAAAGTGAATATTCTTTTTTATTGTTTACTTTTTCAAATACAATTATACCCTATGTTTTATTCTAACTTTTTTCTTTTAACACCATATTTTTTATAATTATGTATATTTATGTTATATGTGATAATGTGTGTTGTTTTGTATATTTATTTATTGTTTAGTTTGTGTTAGGATAGAGGTTAGAGTTGAAATGACTCTAAGCTTGAGTTATAGAGGATATAGCTTAAAAGTATAAGAGTTGGTCTAGGGAGGGTTGCAGTATATAAGGGAAAATTCAAAAAGAAAACTTCAAAAGTTCAAGTTACAAATTTTCTAGAAAGAAGTAAGACATAAGGGCTTTGGAACTTCGAACTATTTTCAAACTTCTGACCATCTTTGAGGTCGTGGATCTTTCGCAAACCTAGAGATCAATGAATCTTGAAGCCAAAGGAAGATTGTTGAGTTGAGATATTGAGGATCGAAGTTGAGAGAGCTAGTTGTTGAAGGAGTATCTTTTCTTACTCATTTATACTTGGTTAGGTGTTTGACTGAGGTAAGAAAAGCTTGATTATAGCTTACATTCACTATATAAGCATTGATGTTGATGTTTTTGAGTTGAATTGATGTATATGGTGTTTTGCATGTTTTGGGTTTTGGGGGTTTTGGAGGGTGATTTTGAAATTATTGATCTTATTCTTAAATCCTTGTTACATGTGTTTTTTCTATTTGGATTACTAGTGTATGTGATGCTTAGATGCATTTTGATGGATTGCATGTTGAAGATGAGGCCTAGAAATGCCTTGCACGTTTTGGTGAAGAGCATTTTCATTTAAGAAGTTGGTCTCACTGAGTGAGTCTTCATAGTTTGAAGGCTTAAGTGTTAGGTTCATATTTTCACTCAATAATTGGGTCTCACTCAACAAAAATGAAAAACACAATGAAGCTCCATTGAGTAAGAGAGACTCACTCAACGAGAGTTGGTCCCTAGAAGAGACATGTGAGGTTGCTTAGCAAGGAAATCTATCTAAGCAATGGATGATCTCTAGATGAAAGGCCTATTTTGGTTCCCCAAAGAAAAGTCCTCACTAAGCGACAAATAGTTTTTACCTAATGAGGCTTGAGATCCTCACTTAGCGATAGAAGAGGTCACTAAGTGAGATTGGCACGTAGGTTAGCATGTTGAGATGCTCACACAATTGATGTTGGTGGCTAAGCGAGAGTTGATCTATGCCTAGTTGAGGCAAAGAGGTTCGTTGAGTGAAATATGTTTGTTGAGTGGATTTTCGCTCAATAAGAAATGGCTCGCTCAACAAAAAACATGTTTTCCCTTATTGTAATTTTGATGGTGTGATGTTTTGTTATGTTCTTGGTGGGCTAAGAAGTGAGTGTTGTTTTCCCTGAGGGGCTAGGTGGTGCTCATTCCAACTAGGAATGATTGTTAAGTTTTAAATAGTCTTGAGGGTTAGGAACAAGAGGCTTTTGCCTTTAATCTAATGGTGTGAGGACCATAGTTGATGTTAATGTTCAATGATGTTATCTATGATGTTATGATGTATATAGTTGTTTATGTGCAGTTAGGTGTCTTATTGCGTGCATGAGTCTATTATGGCTATAATTGTATTGATTGTGCTTTATGCAAGTTGTTGAGAGTGAATGTAGGAAGCTTAAGCCCTTTAATTCATGTTGTTGTATGTGGGTGTTGGGAAAGTTAAATCCCCTCAATCAATGCCACTTTTGAAAAGCCTTTAAGGTAGTTTAAAGGATAATGAAATGTTTAGTTGTTCAATGAGAGATACCAGATGATTGGATCATTAAAAGGTTGTTGCTTTGTAGCCTTAGATGGAGATGTATTTTTATGAAAACATTGGTTCTTTTTTAAATGATATTGTGAAAATGAAGTGTAGTGAGATGCCTCGTACTAGTTATTGAATGACCATATCTAGGTTATATGAAACAAGATGTTGAGTTGGCACGTAAGTCGTGAGTGATCATTTAAGGTGCACCCCAACCTAGTGTTGAAAGGATGTGTGGTATCTTAGAGGTAGACATTGGACTAAAATCATATGGGGCTAGATTTTGTAAACCAATGTCGTGGTGGGCTCGTACTCAAATTATTTTATGCTCAACTAGTGGTATTGAGCCTTCTTGATTTATATCGATAACACTTGAGTGCTGATTTATATCGATAACACTTGAGTGACTAAGGTTGTTATTTTCCAATAAGGTTGAGTCAAATAAATCGCTCATTGTAGGAGATCTTTATTTTTTTTCATGCATGATAATGCATAGTGCAAATTGGCTCGTTGTTGTGTTTGTATGATGATGTATGAGATGGTGTATGGATTTCTATGGTGAGATTGCATGTTGATGTCATGAGTGTGAGGCTTGGTGTTATTGTTTCTTTTATTTATTATGTACTTCCATGATTATGTTATCATATGTTGTTTTGCATCAAGCTTACTCTTTTGTTTATTGTATTGACTACAATAATCATGTCTTGACATGGAAGAAAACCATGTATAACCTAAGAAGTAGTGGCATGGAGTTGTTATTGTAGCATCCTTTTAAAAAAAATAACGAATGAATTAAAAATAGGATTTATAAAAGAAATATTTTATTAATTAAAATAAATATGAGAGCTCATCAAAACAATTGAGTTAGACTTAGGCCCAACATGGAGATTAATTCAAAAAGTAAAATAGAGAGGGGTTATGTAATTAATCCTATTTCTAAAAACCTAAAGTGCTTATAAGAGGAGACCTAAAGGAGAACATCAAAGGAGGCACAAATTAGTGGCAAAAGTCACCGAAGAAATGTCGTTCCACAATGATCGTTACTCTAGGTAAGGGGAGTGAGATTATCAATTCCTTAAGCATATATGAGGTATAAGGATAAATGGGCAAACTCTAAGCCTCGTAGATTGTATGTTTACCTGCATTATACGTATGTTTTTATTATTGAATTCGTTAAAGCTCTATTTATAGTACAATATGACAAGTTGGTCAATGTAATTGAATGATTAATGGTATATTTGAATTATGGGTTTATATATGTGTGTGTATGTGTGTGTGTGTGTGTGTGTGTGTTTGTGTGTGTATGAATTAGGGATTTTGGATGATAGTGTATGAATCTTGATGATTGATGTCGTTTTGGATGTTTATTGAGTATGTATTCATTAATTGATCGATTAAATGGTATGTATTGATAATCGTTATGTTGGTATGAATGTTGGAGAAGATGAGACGCACAATCACGAAGTTGTAATGTGTAGTTTCTTTGAATGTATCGAGCGTGAGAAGGACCACATCGAGCATGGGGTTGCCAAAGAGGTCTCATACCTCTTGGGGCTAGGCGTGAGGTGTTGCGCCCAATGCCATTTGACGTTGATTTTACAAAAAGGGTGAAGTTGGGTGTGGCCCAGATCACGCCAAGCGAGACTAAGGCAAAAAGGTCCCAAACCTCTCCATGTAAGGCACAGGTGATCCCACATTGGGTGTGAGTTTAGTTGAGAGGTCCTTGACCTCTTTATGCTAAGTGTGAATGCATTCTTATTGGCTGCCATGCCTTTTTCAATTTGAGATGCTTGCTTTGAGAATTAAAGTATAAATTGAGGAATGTTGAGGAAGGTCAATAATGTATAGAAAAGGAAGAAACTAGTAAGTATAGATGTGTATGTTTATAGAATTTGTTATGATATATCTATAGTGATATTGTAGTATTGATATTACATGATAAATGAATAATGAGAACGCATGATAACAATGATGTGTGGGAAAATATAATGATGTATGATGTGATGAGTTACTATGAATGTTGATGATAAGATATGATGAATAAGTCCAATATTGTGGGCTAACACTCGAAGAGTTAAGAATTACATATTATTTTGTTGTTTGAGTGTATTGAGTCCATGTATTCATGCTTTGTTTCGTGGGATAGTGTGAGTCTATGCAGGTGGGATATCATAAGTCATCTACCTATGTCCTAGAGGGTGTAATGTTGGCGAAATCTCTAACAGGAATGGGAGGCTACCATGGCTAATGGTAACACTTCGACAACACCTTGATAAACATCCCCTAGTTGGGGTGGTTCAGGAGAATCACTATTGATGGGTTGTCCCTACACTATTTGATGAGGTGGTCCTGTTCTATTACTTTTAGGTTATTTTGTATACTCGATAATGATAATGAGATTGGTACCACATGCATGTAAAGTTAAGAGCATACATTACATGAGTCATAAATTATTATTATGTTGCATGTTGAAATGGAATGATAGTGAAGGATGGATGTGGATATACCAATG